TCATCATTATCATTATCATCATCATCGTTATTATTAATGAACGAAATTACATCTCATTTAACTTCTTGAGCTCTTAGAAATTAACGAGAGTAATAAAAGCTGATTTGACCGCTCTTTATCTACCCGAATTGAATGCAAACCGCTCACACATATCTTCTTCCATTTTAATTTTTAACTAATTACTGTGAAAAGTCCATCCGAAATGTGGTCAAATATTAGTCGTGACAGTCGAAGTTAATCGTTTTGGATATTTCTTGATCTCAACGGCCCTCTCTATTATTATTATTATCATCATTATCATTATCATCATCATCGTTATTATTAATGAACGAAATTACATCTCATTTAACTTCTTGAGCTCTTATAAATTAACGAGAGTAATAAAAGCTGATTTGACCGCTCTTTATCTACCCGAATTGAATGCAAACCGCTCACACATATCTTCTTCCATTTTAATTTTTAACTAATTACTGTGAAAAGTCCATCCGAAATGTGGTCAAATATTAGTCGTGACAGTCGAAGTTAATCGTTTTGGATATTTCTTGATCTCAACAGCCCTCTCTATTATTATTATTGTCATCATTATCATTATCATCATCATCGTTATTATTAATGAACGAAATTATCGAAATTTTGTTCCAATAATATTGAATTATTATTTTTATCCTTATTATTATTATTAACACAATATAGACCGAAATTTAAATCTTATTTAAGAATGCCAACCGTTCACAGATGTCTTTATCTACCAGAATGCCAACCGTTTACACCTATCTTCATTCATGTATTTAATAACTCTGTACTAATTAGGGTGTAAAAGTCCCTTCGTTTTCATTCAAATATCATTCAAATTCGCCCCCCCCTCCCTATAAATACATAGCACCCTCTCCAGATTTTAAACACACTTTTTTCAATGTATTCCATATTTTACAAGCCTATTTCTTTACATTCATCAAAACTTCTCACCTCTCTTTCGTAATGTTTTTACTCAATTTTGTAAAACAGTCCTAATGGTTATCTCGATAAGGCAAAACGGTCATAATGGTTATCTCGTATACCATTATTCGTTTTATCCATTACTGCAGTAGATGCTCCACGGCATCTTCTGCATTATCTCGTGTTTTCCACAAGGAAACAACACAGAATCAACCATTCTCTACTCCACTCCACTGCACATTATTGTCGTGTTCTAGGGAAGCAATCCATGCAATTCCATGCAATCACATGATGATTGGGATTCTGGTAAAACCCATCTTTACTACTGCAACATTGATTCAAACGAAGAGTACGTAATTCCTGCTAGCAGTGTATCAGCTTGTGTAGAGACCGAAGTATTGAAGAGATAAAAAAGAAACTACTCAAATATCGATCCGAGCTAATTTCATGGAATTATTGAATTTTATGTAATTTTAGTTATTCGTCTTTACATGCAACTCCATTCAATTCCATGCAATCATGTGATCCATGTAATAAGGGTAATAAAGTCTATCCGAAATGTGGTCAAATATTAGTCGTGACAGTCGAAGTTATTCATTTTGGATATTTCTTGATCTCAACGGCCCTCTCTATTATTATTATTATCATCATTATCATTATCATCATCATCGTTCACTACAAGAAAGATGGTTTTTCGGCGCACTTAAAAATGTTGTTTGCCACACTTATGAATGTGGAAAAGATGACTTGCCACACATGACCTAAGTGCGGCTACGTAAATGTGGGAAATATTTTGCCGCACTTTTAAATAAGTGCGGCTAATAAATATATTTACGACACTTAGTATGTGTGGCTAATGTTTTGATTTGCCACACGTATATGTGTTCTTATGTCACCAACACTTGTTAGTGTTGCAAATGTTGTACTAATTTTTTATAATATTAATATAAAATTCATTATTTATAACAAGATAACAATTATGTTTTAATTATTGATCTTTAAATTAAAGAATTTTAATAAAGTACTAATTACAATTCCAACTATTTTTTTTAAAAAAGCACACGAGCATTTCATTAAAATAAAACCGCAAATAAGTAAGCCAATTCATCAGTATACAAAATAAAACTTGCACAAAATAGACTACACCCATCAAAACTAAATGTCAAACAAACTACATCAGAAAAGGCTAACTCTACGTTTAGATTTAATAAAGACTCTTGTCTGAACTATGATCATACTGGATGCCTGCAGCAATCTCCCTTGTGTCATGAATCTTTAGACTCTTTGTCCTCCATATATTATAGCAGCATGCAACTATCACAGTTGGCATCCTCAGAATATCAGTCTATCATTCTTCGCATTTCTGAGCTTATCTTCTAATTCATCTAGCAATATAGCTGCGAGTTCGATTTTTTAACCCAATCAGATACTAAACTGACCATTGCAGATGCAAAAGTAAATAATTAAAATAATGAAAATAAAGGTATAATCTAGGTACAACTAATACAGTATTTAAATATTGGAAAGGAAAAAAAGGGTGAGGAAAAACATAAGTAGTATAGGGTACTTTATCAAGATTTAGGCAGCAACCTCGAAATGAAGTAAAGCAGTTTTTTAGCAACCAAAATTGATCAGCTTAATCCAGAATGCATCGTAGTAGGTAATGTTTGATCTAGCTCCCCGTGATGCAAGACAAAACTACAAAAACAGAGATAATGTGACTACTCAAAGAAGCTTTATTCCAATTTTGAAAAAAAACCTTAATTATCCATAAAAAAACTTAAGAAAGATATACCTAGTATTTTTACAAGTCATCTGAGAGCATATTCTCTTTGTCTAGCACAATATATACTCCATACCTTGTAAAGTTTTAAACAAATATTTTACATGTTATAATGTAATATGCAAGCACATTTATTTTAAAAAGATGAAAACATATGGAGTAAATATATAGTCAGTAAACCATTTCCACATATATATAATCCAATTTGCTTAGGGATCCTAACAAAACATAGAAAATCACTGCCTATTAATCAAAATGCCTAGAGTGTAGTGAGCCCAGTGTTGCTGAAAATGATTATACCATATCTTGATACTTTAATAGTGTATAATATGAAAAGGCCAAGAGATACTGCAAGTGAAATGAATCTGACAGCTTTGGTATGTTCTCTATAAACATCATTGTATATTAGTGACGTAGGAACCCAAAATAATTCTATCACTAACAATGTGGACAATCGAGACTCTCTTTGAAGGACATTGTCTCAAAAAAGTGACTATGTCATGGGTCTATTTGTCTGCCCACTTACTGTATTGTGCCAATGAGTCAATATTATCAAAAAAAATGATGCATATTCATCAATTGCGAGGTCATTTCTAGAATTAAGAACAAGAGTTAAGTTAACCAATAGCAAAACATAGAGCATAAGGAAGCAAAACTTTTAGCTGAAAAAATAATGCGGATGAAATCTGAAAGTCTTACTTGAATCCATATCCAGACATTACTTTAGCAGGTTAACTTCTCAACAGAAACATTAAATACAAATACTCAAGATTGTGAAATCCTGCAAAATAGAAACAAAATCAAAATAAAAATCAAGCTAGAACTACATATAGCAAACAATCACAGAACGCATTAGATTCAAAACCAACACAAAGTCAATCATTTAATAGGATTGAATATAAATTCAAATATGTTCAAGCCCTAAAACATACACAAAATAACTAGACTGGATATTAAAAATGGCAAATAGGGGTAGTTGTGAATGAATTTTCTGTTTCTAGTTCTAATAGAAATGTGATTCCAAAGAAGAAAGGCAGACCAAAGGGCAAGAAGAAAAAATCAGAAATGAAATCATATCAAAATTAGACAAAAACCTAGCCAGAATTATATATAAAAAACATATCACAGTATGCATTAGATTCAAAACCAACACAAAATCAATCATTTAACAGGATTGAATATAAATCCAGAACCGTTCAAGCCCTAAAATATACACAATATAACTATAATTGGACGTTAAATACGAAACCAATGCATACATGAAGAGGAAATTGAAGAAATACGTCAGAACTATACCATTGAAAATATTATTTGATGTTGGATTTAGTTTCGTTACTGCCGCTTGCTGTCGCCAAGTTCCAATCGGTGGTAGGCTCTCTAAATTGTGGCCCTTTACATTCTTCTTCCATCACTGCATCTGGTTTCTTCTTCGCGAGATCCATGGTAGGGATCTCTGGTTTCGAACCTTATCTTTGGCGTCATCTCTTTCCCTTCATTGCCCTCATTCTTGCTCGCGTCTCAAGAATCAAGATGAAGAACCGATTTGGGATTTATGGGTGAATTTAATGCTTGAGTCTGATGCAGTTGTGGTATTTGCGTAAACCTAATTTACGGAGAAGGAATAATTATATGGGTTGGAACTTTTTTTGTGTGTATTATTTGAAAAGAAAGAATAATAAAAAGGGTTAATTTCTTATTGTGTATTGGGAACACCAAACTGGGTAAACGTAGATATAGCTATTTTTCAGTCTGCAACACTCATAAGTGTGAAAAAGCTAAACACGCATTTATCACTTACCGCATTTAGTTATATGCGGCAAAATATGTGTGGTAAAAGCATATTTTCTTGTAGTGGTTATTATTAATGAACGAAATTACATCTCATTTAACTTCCATGAAATCATATGCATCCACCACAATTTTATTAATAATATATTTATCCACCACAAAATTTATTTTTTGTTTCTACAATGGTACTCCTTGCATATGTAGTAAGCAATTTCTAAACGCATGTTGGCCATCTTTTCTTTTGTCATATTCTCCAAAGATTTAAAATCCTGATGTTGTGCTCCCAACTCTAACATTTTTACCGCGAAGACGCCGCAGTCACTATCAATCTGTTGGGGTACTGTGCAGTATTCGATTTCCCAATCGGCATATCCGTGCTTGCCGATTTCTATAATTCCAGCAATGCCTTTAAACCCTCTAAGATCATCCATCAGAAAACTAGCCATCCTCTCAATTGAAGTTATCCTCCTAAGGGAGTCAAGCACGACGAGGCAGCACCTCTCAAAGTAAGCCTTGATACAGAACCAATGTGAACCCGTGCCTTTCAAATAATATACGTACTTAGTGTTCTTTTTCCAGGCTTTGGTTTTAAATGCTTCCGGCCCCTCGCTGTATGTACCATCCACAATCTTTTCAAGGGATCCAGACAAAATAGGCCATTCTGGGTCATGCGCATAAGAGTTCACATAAGTGTTGAATTCAAAAGGCGCAATGCATGAGTCTCCATCGTCATTGCATAAACGTCTTCTCAGGACGTAAAGGTACTCACTCAGATGCTAGTTAACAAACAAAAGTAATATGTTATTAGAAAACGAAAGATATAGGCATTGTTTGTGTACGAAGAATGAAAGGTTAATGCAACTTACAGTATCCGCTACCCAAAAACCTGGAGTGATAAGGTCAGTCTAGAACGTTTTCACAAAATCCTGAATCTCCTTGTATTGGGCGAGGTAGCATTGTACAGGGCGGTCATCTTTAATTGCTTTTACGATGAAGCTCTTAAATTCCAAAAGATCTGCTTTAGTTGGCGGCTTAGATAAGAGCTCATCGGCTTTCTTTTTCTTCCTCCCGTCCGTTGTATAAGGAGACTTCAAACTGGCTGACTTCTTTTTCACTCTCTAAAATAAAAAAATAAGTGAATTATTTCGGAATCTTAGACCACAATACGAAAGCACTTGAAGTAAGAAACCAAACCTTTCCATACACAATGCCATCAGTAATTTCAGCCTCTTCTCCCAATTCCTTCGGGGGAGAAACAACCTACAGTTAAATAGAGTGTAAATAAACATG